ATGGTGAAAGCAAGCCATGCTCTTTTGTAGATTTTACTTTTGTATTTCTGATGGGATTTATTGTCACAGGATTATTTTTATCTGAGTGGCTGAACTGAATATACTGAAAGAGCTTGCTATTGTATTTTACTATGGTGTATTAAGATACTTCATGAACTAATATGAAGGTCTGGCACACGTGAAGTTACTTAGGTAAGAGGGCGTAATGGGTGTAATGAAGTGTTTGATGGGGCGTAATGAAGTATTTGATGGGGTAATGTGAGACTGTGGAGGTAGAGATGTTGGCATTAGTAATAGAGGCTATTCTGACAGATAACAGAGAACTAGAAACAGCTGTGCGAGTAAAGGAAGTGCAATTTTCATTAAGATACTCCTTAGCACATTAGCCCCAGGAAACTAAACAGTATACGATTCTTTCTTTAAAAAAAATTTGTTTTAAGAGAGAGGGCCTTGCCTAGGCTGCTGTGCCATAGCATGGTTGTGGGGAATGGTCAGAGCTCCCTGCAACCTAGAACTTCCTGGTTCAAGAGACCCTCCTGCCTCAACCTCCTGAGGAGTTGGAACTATAAACACCTGCAATCATGTCTGGGTAATTTAAAAAAATTGTTTTTTTAGAGACAGGGTCTTGGTATGTTGCCTAGGCTGGTCTTGAACTCCTGGCCTCAAGTGATCCTCTCACTTCAGCCTCCTCAGTAGTTGGGATTACAAACTACCATTCTTTATTAATCTGTTTTCCAGTTTGGTTTTTTTCATGGGTCTATTACAAGAGTATGCGGTGTCACTCAGACTCTCACTGTGACTTGAAGTATTTTTAGCCTATTAATCTGACTCTTCTTGATTGAAATGTCCAAAAATTTTCTCCTTTGGTTTCACTCCTATTGTACACCTCCTCCTTTCTCAAGAATTAAGCAAGTCCCTGCTTTGTCTAGAGACTGGGCCATGTAATGCAAATGCTGTCAAGTTTTCTCCTTATTCTGCAAGGCCAATGCCTTCATCCTTTCTCTCTTCTTTCTTTCCTGTCTTTAAGGAAAACTTATTAATCCATCCTACCAAGGAATGTATACCTCTTCCTATGCTCTTACTGCAATTACTTTCTATATTTATCTCTCAAAATTTCCTCCATTAATACCCTAGGCTAAAAAGATACCCAATTGCTCTCTTTCCTTCCTAAATTTGTTTCTAGATTATTTGTCTAATTCTATGTGTAGTCTGTGCCTCTACTTCTGTCTTTGTCTTTACCTGGAATGGTCTCCTTTGGTTCTATGCCATTGACAATTCTACCAGCCACCCAGTCCAGTGGTTTTTGAATATTCCACACAGAAACGAATGTTCCATAAAGGAGACTCAGAGCCCTGCCTGCCACCACAGGGAGTGAAGGGTAGGCAGTAGTAGGTTAGAATTTCTGTCCTCAAGTAGAAAATCTCTTAAAATTATTCCACACACTTAGCATAGTTCTAGTCCTTCAAAAATACTGAAAAATGACACGTGTAATGAAATTGCAGACAGGTTAAGTGACTTTCCAAGATAAGCAGCAGATTGAGAGCCAGCTCTTGGGTCTTCTGAATCCCTATTCTGCATAGATTTTCTATGATTCAGGCATGACTTGGTGGGATTGGGGGAAATATGTTCTCTATTAAATGTTCATACAGACTTTACCTCCATGCCAATATAATATTAAATGACGGAGTAGTTTCTGTCCTAAATCATTTATTTCCCTCTGTCCAAAATGATCTATGGACTGTGGTCATCAGTGTTCTTCTTCATTTAAGCCAGACTCTTATGTGTGATGTGAGGCCACTTTATTACTCTACATTCACATGGAAAATGACTCTCATGACCTTGATAGTATTGTGACTAAGGCAGTGTTAGTCAACTTTGGAAAATTTTACATGGGGTCAGAGGTTGGTTTTGATTTGGAGACATTCATTAAGATGAATGATCACTAAGATGCCAATAGTGCCAATTTGAGAAAGCATCTCCTCACTCCTACCTTGTCAAATTTTTGGACGTACAAGGGAAAGTGTTTTCCAGAATTAACCCCTACAAATCTTTGAGATAATTTCTACTACTTCTAACTTTGAAACCAGACTCAAATCAAACTCGTTCCTTTCACTAGCTTCTTTATCCTGATGCTTTTCCTTTTGTACTTAGAACCATTTGGTTCAGTTGAAAGGGTATCCATAATTGTTCCCAGAATGCTTTACATTCTGGAATATTCTGGCAATAGCTTTTTCACCAAGAGCAAAAGATGCAAAGACGAAGGAATATGGCCATTTTTTTTGGGTCAACTCTTTCTTATTTTTTGTGACCTATCAAACAATCAAATGTTTTTGGAAATAAAAAATAATTTTAGGTCAATTAATACAATGTGATTGAAAGTCTTGTACTTCATTTGGACAAGGTTGAACAGTAAAAATGACCTGAGATGTTTCATGAGAAATTATATTTAAGGTTATACTTAAATGAAATAACATGGAATGCTAATGCAAAATATAACAGTTTGATGTCCTTTTATGTATCACAATACATAAATTTAACTAATTTTAAACTGTTAATAAATTATAATTTAATTGACAAAAAGGGACAAGACACGGGGATATTTAACAATGTGGTTTTGGAGGTAAAAATCTACTTTTTTTTTAAACCTCTCAATAGTCTAAGATTATAGTTTCTTTTCTCAAATCAACTGTGTTCTATATATAGCGCTTAATAAGTAAGCATCTTCCATTTGCTGAGTTTTCAGAGTTATCTCGCCCTTTGATTTTTTTTTTTACTCACTTTGCAGTCACAAAATGAGAAATGTAGACAAACAAGAAGTTCGTGCAAAGTCAAGCTCTCAAAACCACATGCAAGACGGAGCGGCACATGGTTTAGAGCTCACACACTCCAGGATCGTGTACTACAGGCATGCAGATGAGAGGAAAGGAAAGCACCTACGTCATGAAAATAGAAAATGATGAAAAAGAATGACATTTTCTTTATGACAATCATCTAATGCAAACCGTATACCCATAACCTTTACCAGAGTTAGGAGAGGGACAGAGAAGTGAATTTCTGTGGGGAGCGGGAAACTATATAAATATTCTCAGAGGTCAAGTTGTCATTAAAATTAAGGATTTCCATTCTGTACTTGGCCTCTTCCAGGTTATCTTCCCCAGTTTCTTGCTTTGTATTTCCTGTGCTACATCATGCAGAAAAGATCAGAACTAACATTGGAAATCACTTAGCAAGCTCTAAACCTGACAGATAACAAGGGTATTCTCAACAATTTACACGAGAATTAAATTGGATATAAATACCTCCTGTTCTTACCGGTGGGTGTTGTGATTCCATTTATTAAGGTGTGAAGCAGACAGGAAAGAGATAAATCTTTCATAAGTACATTGTAAATAGGCAAGTGGTATATAAACCAAACTTAAAGGTAATAGAGTCAAACAATGAAAGGTAAATAGTCACAAAATAGACTTTATCACAAAAATGGTCACAAAACTATAGGAATATGGAGAGGGGAGGTAAAATAATTGTTTTACTATTGTTACTGAAATAATCTGGCAGTATGGAACAACAAAACTGAGTGACACATGGTTGATTAAAAATTTTTGACACTGCTTCAACCAACCCAGCAGTAGAGATTTCCCCAACAGCTCTTGAATGCTGATACCTTTGTTAAACAATAATAGCGGTGGACATGTATAAAAGTGATCAATATGTAGGTGACACAGTGACATTAAAGTGTTCCCTCAGGGAGATCAATTTATCAAATTAGTTTTTCACAAGGAATTTTGAGATGATTAGAAATAACTCATGGAGTTTAGCTACAGTTTTATATGAAATGCGCTAATTAGATAATCTATTCAAATTAAATTTTTTATAAGGCATGTTCTTACTTCTCAGTCAAACCAATTACACACATCTATGATGGACTTATCGGTATATAAATATGTCTTTCAAATTCGGCAATGTTTGCAATGCTTTCTGCGCTATTAGTGCTAATTGTGAAATTGTCTATCGGATTGTTTGTTACTGGTTAAACAAAAAATATCAGTGTAAATTATACAGGCTGACTTACACAAAATTGCTTATGGAATTGACATAATTAAATGTGAGTGATTTTATTTTTTGAGGAATTTTTAGAAACAGGGTCCTTGCCCAGTGGAGGAATAGTCATATTTTTAATCTTTTTTCTATTGCTTTGTGCTACGTCATGGAATTTAGATTTGTTGTATAATTTATTTAGTGATCAGTCTCTATAGCCAAGTAGCAAGACAAAATAAGTGGGCAATCCTACTAATAATAAGAGCTCTTTGAACCACATTAATTTTATTAGTGTGTTGACTGTTGAGCCGTGACATAGGAGGTTATGACGAGTGATTTTTGATGTACAATTTGCACAAGCGGTAGGAAGGAATCCATATTTCCTCCTTGAAAGGAAAGATGAATTAAATCTAATACAGTAAGAGGGCACATAGTAAATTGTTTAAAATATTTTTTTTAAAAGTTCTTAAAAGCAGCGTGAAACTTCCTATCATAAAATGCTTATGACATACGGAAACTCCCTAACCTCTCCTACACATTTTCACTCTCCTTTCTTTTAACGTGTTAACCTTGGATCACTGGGGGCATCATTGTTGTTACTGTTTAGTTGCCACTTTTTATTGCATGTGGGTCCTGCTATTTTGGGGGGTACTGGGAACTAGATCATATAGTGAAAGCCAAGTCCCAGGTAACGCAATGTTCTCTCTAACCAGAGTGGGTGCCCCACCCCCCACAGTTATATCAGTTTGCATCATGGTATAATGCCTTTGCCACACAGTATAACTAGGTATAGCACCATGCAATGCCATGAATTGAGAATGAGAGACTATCTCCAGGGGAGAAAATACACATCCGAGAGAAGAAAACAAAAGCAGGGGGGGTCAAAGCTGGTGAGACTGGCCTTTCCATTTTGGTTATAGCTACAATGCCTGTGGGTGCTTCTGTTTAGGAAAACAAATACATACCATGTTCATGTCAATGCCATTGGTGTAAGTCCACGCGTGCTGGAAATATTCCTCAAGACGTTGCCTCAGAGGGTTGGGGATTTGGTGAAAGCGAATGAACTCTTTCACTCGCAGCATCTGCATGTGGTACCTGGCAGTTCCCGAGTATAGTCTTTGGATAATCGCAGACACATTCCCAAAAATGCTTGCATACATTAGTGCTGGAGTGGATAAAACACAAAGTTACAGGGGAACTCTACACGTGGGCATTTTACGCAGTATATATTGTCAGAATAGATTTTGATTATCTCAGCCAGTGGTGAGGATTTACCAATGGCTCCTGGGGAAAGCTGAAGTTAAACCTATAGGGTTTTAAATTTTACAGTTTAAGCAGGAAAGGGAAGTTTTTGAAAGTCACTATGAATTCTAAATTAAAGTAAAAAGTCAAATTGCTTATAATATCAGCTTGTCTCTGAGAGCATTGACTGGAGACAAAATGCGTTTACAGTAAACCATTTCATTTGTCATAAAAAGGCCTGTCATCGGCCACCATGACTAAGCTTCCACACGAAACAATCTCAGGAGGCAAAAACATCTTTTGAGGACTTTAAAACCACTTTTTGAATAGGAATCTGAATATTAAACTTTTAAATTGTGGCTTATCTCTGCCTCTCAGTCTCAAATCTAACGTTGCAGTAGTAAAAATGGATTTAAAATTTTAAGATTACTTTGAATACATTGGACTTGTTAAGAAAATAACTAGTTCTTTTCAGAAACCCAGTTTCCTTAGCGTGTTAATGAGTATACAATTTTTAATCTATTCTAATTCATTTTCATCATATCTTTGCATAAGAAACATATCTCTGGCCTAGAAAATGCACTTAGTTTTATTTTTATGGGGAGAAAAGAATACATTTTTGTTCTTTCTCTGGGTAGAGACTGCTATGACCTCCCTTGCTATATTATATATTCAGTACTTAGAATATCCATATTAGTTCTTCTCTGCTAAATCTTTATGATTTAAAATAAGCTCTTTAAACACTTTCTCTATTCTTTTTTATATTTGTATTCAGTTTTTAATATTTCTAAAAAGAAACGATTTGCTCTATGCCAAAAGTCTCATCATGCCAGGCTGTATGTGGTTTGTATATAGATCTCTGGATATCTGTCAGAAACCGAGAGATGAGGTTTAACGCACTGGGACAGCAATACACCAAGCAGTCTGGAAAAGTCACAACAATACCAGAAATGCTTGAAGTGTTTAATTATATTATCTTTAACCAATACTTTTTTCCCCCAAACACATTTCACAAACAACTGCCTCTATAAACCATTTAATTATTTTTTTAAAGTAGAGTTTGGCAAGACTCAGGCTGTGTTATAAACTCATAATATTTTGCAGGGCCTTTGCTTTCTTTTCTAGCTTCTGTCTGCTTATCTCATCATGTGTGGTTATCATGGCAACTGTCTACTATAGACGTCCCAAGTAAAAAAAGTCCCAGGGAAAGTAACCCCTTATTTTTATCTATTTGGGAGGATGAAAGTTGAATGTGATGGTTAGTTTTATGTCTACTTGACTGGGCACCAGGGTGCCTAGAAATTTGGTAAAACGTTACTTGAGGTGTGTCTGTGATGGTTTTTCTGGATAAGATTCACATTAGGATCGGTAAACAAGAAGATAGTACTCTCCTCTGTGAATGGACCATACTCAATCCATTGAAGGCGTAAATAGAACAAAAAGGTGGGTTAAGGGAGCTTCACTCTCTCTGCCTGTCTGTGAGTTAAGACATCCATCTTCCCCTGCCTTTCCACTTAGACTCAGGCTCAGACTGTACCCACACCTGTGGGTCTCCCAGGTCTCCAGTTTGCTGTCAAGTCCCAAGTCCCATCTTGAGACTTTTCAGCTTTCATAGCCATGTGAGCTGTTTCTTTAGAGTAAGTCTATTTATATCTGTACTATGAGGTTAGACGTTTAAATTCTTAAATGGATCCTAGAAAAAGTGCTACATACCTCATTGTTGAATGTCATCTGAACTGATTCTCCATGAACTGATTCTCCATGGGGAGATTCATGTGAGAAATATATTTTCCTCATTCTAAATGTATTGTTGGAAATACTTGTGTGTGCTATTACGTTTCCAAAGAACCTATCAGGTGCTCAGGAAGGAGAGTCAATCCCAGGGCACATAATCAATGTTGGTAATTTTACTTCAACATATAATTATGTGAAGGGAAAAGGTTGGGAAGAAAATCTTACTTTATTTTTAATAAATACTGTGTTCTTATCTCTATATTTCCATCAAAACGAACCAAAAATGTAAGTTTAGATGAGAAACAGGCAATTCCCACTCACTGTCAAGATGGCCAAAAATTCTTCACATGAGAGACCCATTGAAATATTTCACTTAGGAAATTCTGTGTTTCTGAATTTTAAAATTATAGTAAAGACATCAATTTTTTTCCTATTTTTTTAAGAAGCAAATGGAGCTAAAGGTTGCAAGCTAGTAGGAAGCTTACAAATGATTATATCTTGTGTACATTTTTTAGTTTATGTCCAACTGGCAAGAGCAATCAGTCAAAAGCACTTTGATAGGTTCTGGATATAGAGGCATCTCTCCTCAACTCAATATTTTATTAACTTTATAAAATGGGGAGTTCCAATTTCATCAGAATGGTTTTCTTTAGGTTAGGTATGACAGAAATAAAACCGGTGTGTCTTAAGACTTCCTCCCATATACCATACTCCAAATCAAATATCCTAACCCTACTAATACATCTTGTTGGTTGAAGAATAGTAGCTGAAAAGTGTTGACAGAGCAAATACACTTGCTTTTCCATTACAAAAGTGTAATTAAAAATAAATGTTATTGATGTATAACTTAAATGTGATAAAAGCATCCATTTTAAGTGTACAATTAGTTTGATAAATGTATACGTCCCTGTAAACACAAACAAGATACAGAACATTTCCCTATACCCAAAGTTTCCCAGTGCCCACTGGCCGCCTGTGCCACTCACTTCAGACCTTGAACAACCACTGAGCTCCTTTATGTCAGAACAGATTAGTTTGCATTTTCTAGGATTTCATATAAATTGAATCCTAATGTACATATTCATTTGTGTCTGACTTCTTTTGCTCAGAATAATGTTTTTCGGAATCACTCTGTTGTGCATATCAGTGATTCAGTTTGTTTTCAATTGCTGGATTGATTTGCATCACATGGCTATACCACAGTTTGTTTTTCCCTTCTCCTGTTGGTGGAAATCTTGTTGTTTCTACTTTTTGGCTATTATAAATAAAACCGCCACAAACATTTGTATCCTAATCTTTTAGGATTCCAGTCTTTTCCCTTTTAAAGTGTTTAAATTGCTGAGTTGTGTGTTATGTTTAACTGTATAAGAAACTGCCAAACTGTTTTCCCAAGTTGTATCATTTTATATTCTCACCAGCCATGAAAATACCAGTTGTTCCCTATCCTGTCCAACATTTGATTTTGCCAGTCTTTAATTTTAACTATTGTAGTGTGCATAATATCTCATTAGAGTTTTAATTTGCATTTGCCTGATGAATAATAACATCTTTCCACGTACTTATTGGCCATTCATAGATCCTCCTTTGTGAAATGTCTGTTCAAATATTTTGCTCATGTTTAAATTGAATTGTCTTCCTACTATGGAGTAGTAAGAACTAAATTACATATTCTACATGTATGTCTTTTTTAGATCTAAATATTGAAAACATTTTCTTCCAGTTTATTATCTGCCTATTCTTTTTCTTAACGGTGTTCTTTGAAGAGCAGAAATTATCTATTTTGATGAAATCTAATTTATCAATTTTTGGTTTGGGCTCAGGATTATTTTTACTTTGGTAATTTATGTAATTGAAAGGATTTGTCCATTTCCTGTAAAGTGTCAAGTCCATCATTTGTCACGATGTTCTTTTATTATCCTTTTAACATCTGTAGGATTTGCAGTAATATCTTTTCTATCATAAAGAACATTGATGAGTTATCTCTTCTTTCTCTCTTTCAGTCTAGCTTATCAATTTTATCAGTCTCCTAAAGAGCTATAATTTATTTCCATTGCTTTTTCTATTACTTTGTATTTTATTCGTTTCTGCTCTTACATATTATTTGTTTTCCTTCAGTTATTTTAGGTTTACTATCCTTGTCTTTTGCTGACTTCATAAAAATAGAAGCTTAAATGTTTTTATTTTTTTATTTTATTTTTTTCATGTTTCACAACTTTAATAGAATATTCTAACTATTCAGTACAAATTGAGAACACCGTATTCAGTTACAAATGTGTTACAATGTTTCAGCTTTTTAAATAAAAATGTGAAAAGGTATGAATTTCCTCTCTAAAAATGTTAATGCCCCAAAGTACTCATTATACAGTTTGATGCATTTTATTTTCATTACTTTAAAAACATTTTTATAATTTTCCATGTGATATCTGCTTTGAACCACAAGTAATTTGGAAGTGTATTAATTTCCAAATACATGGAGATTTTTAAAAATATGTATCAATCTTTCTTACCTTTCCTTCTCATCTACCTTCTCTTGTTACTGGTTTTTTGTTTCAGGAAATACTCTGTATGATTTCAGTTATTTTAAAATCTATTGAGACTTGTTTTGTGGCCCAGCACAGGCCCAGCCTATTCTGGTGACTGTTCCATCCATATACATTTGAAAAGAATGTACAATTGTCCATATGTCAAGTTTAGCTTATAGTATTGTTTAAGTCTTCTATATCTCAGATTATTGATGTTTGTGTCTGTTTATTCTATAAAATTGAGAGGAGAGTGTTAAAGTTGCAAACTAGAATCATGTGTTTGTCTTATGAATTTGTCTATCTCTCCTTTTAATTAGCTTAGTTTTTGCATCAAAGTTCTATAATTAAGTGCATACACATGTAGGACTGTTGTGTTTTTCTATTTTAGCTCTGGTAATAGTTGGTGTCCTAAAGTCTACTTTGAAGTTAATACATGATTATAGTATGTATGAACATTTTCCCATCTTTTTCTTGTGTCTTTATATTTAAGTGTGTTTTCTTTAGATAGCATGTGGCTAAGCCTTGCTTTTAAGACAGTGATAATATCTGCATTTCAATGAGAGTGCTCAGATCATTTACATTTAATGTAATTATTGATACAGTCAGCTTTCAATCTACTATCTTCCTATTTGTTTTCTACATGTCTCTTTTTTCTTATTTCTTGCTATCCTTTGGATTTATTATTTTTTATTTTTGTATTTTGTCTTCCCTACTCACTTCATGTAGGATGTTGGAATCTTATAAAAAATATTTCTATTTCCCCTTTTCATTTTTCAATGTTATCATTATCATACTTTCTCTAGCTGCATATGATATAGAATTTACACATTAATTGAATTTATTTTTGCTATAAGCTGTCAAAAATATAAACAGAGAAAAAATATTTTTGAAGACATTTATAAATAAAGAAAAACTCTTTTAAATTTACTCACATAATTATTTACCATTTCTGCTCTTTCATTCTTCTGTGTTAATCCAAATTTTCATCTGGTATCATTTTCTTACGACCTGAGTACTATTATCATTTCTTGTATGCTGCTTATGATGAATTATGTCAAGTTTTACCATTTTTGAAGGACAATTTAATTAAACATAGATTTCTATGTTGACAGATTTGTTTTTTCTTTTAGCAATTTAGGAGCTTTGTTCTACTGTCTTTTTGCTAGTGGCTACTGAGACTTTATCATTAATTTTCAGTAATTTGATTATGATGTGCCTGGATGTGGTTTACTCACATTTAATCTTCTTAGGATTCACTGTGCTTCTTATATTTGTGGTGTATAATTTTAATAAATTTTGGAACATTTTTAGTCGTTATTTTTCTAAAATTTTTTTTTTTTTCTGCTTGCCTCCACCATTTTCTGGGACTCCATATACATATTGGTTCAAATGCTTGGCATTGTCTGTTCCATTGTGTCTGTCAATTCTGGTTTCATTTTACTTCGTTGTTCTGCTTATGGTTTATAGTTTCCTATTTCTTACTGTATCTATTAATTTTTTAATGGATGTTGGGCATTTTACAATTAACATTGTTCACTGGTGTATTTTTTTTTTTTTTAAATGTTAGATGGGGGGGCGGCACCTCTGACTCAAAGGAGTAGGGCGTTGGCTCCATATGCTGGAGGTGGTGGGTTCAAACCCAACCCCAAACTGAAACAAACAAACAAACATAAAACCAAAAAAACACGTTAGATGTTCCCATAGGCTGGGGCATTTGCAGATCAGCTTGTACCTTTTGAGGGTTGTTTTTAAGCTCTGTTAGGGGAAGATCAACTCTAGTACCATACGGCACAATTTTTCTGAGATGTTATTTCTACTGAATATTCTGGATGTCCAATAAGAGCTTTCTAAACTGCTGGCTAGAATTTGAAAATCTCCCACCTGTGGGGTATCTGGAAATTGTTCAGCTTACAGGACTTTGGGTATTTCTTTGCCAGGTCTTGAGCCATTTCACCTCATGCTTTTGTGATTTAGTAGTCGTCAGAAGACTCAAAGCGAGACCTATGTAGGTTTCTGGAGCTTTTCTTTGCCAAAGCTGCCTCTTCTCAGTTGTCTGTTTTAAAAATTCTGGCATCTTATCCTCCATGACCTTTGATTTTCTATTTTTTTTAAACTCAGCAAGACTGTCGTGGTCAGCTTAGGTTCTCTCAGAAAGTACCCCCCAGGTAGAAAGCCAAGAATAGTAACATGGTCCCCAATCTGTTTTCCTTCTTTTGGGGACCAAGTTCCCCTATTCACTTCCAAGTGTCCGAAAACATTTGCTTTATATATTTTCTTCTGTTTTCTGTTTGTTGGTTTTTGTTTTCAGTGGAAGGAGGGTAAAGTTTTAGTAACTCCAGTATGTCTGGAGGCAGAACTCCAGTAACTTTTTTTTACACATTCTAAAAATGAGGAATTCTCCCAAGATGTTTGTCAAGCAAGTAAGAGATGGAATACATTTGCCTTTGTTGATTGGCTTCTGTGTCTCTTAAATAAAACACAGTATACATATTATATTTATACTATTTGAATAAAAATATAAAATTATATTATGTATTAGAAAACATAGATATAAATATATGAGCACAACTTACATTTACAGTTAATGACTGTATACCTTTCTTTTGTTTTTCATTTTGTGTTATGTACATTTTTATTCTCTAACAATAAATAAATACACAAATAAATAAAATAAATTATCTGATCGCTGTTCTCTGTATACATTCAGAAGTACAAAAACAATCTTTGCAAATTTCAGCTTTTATAAATATACGTATAGGCATTTGAGTTATTTGCATTTTGTTAGATGATAATTTTTAAGATTTTATTTTTAGTACCCTTGAATTTAATTGCTATAAGATGGGTGGTTGATTGCTTTGTTTCTACAATTTGGCTTAAATTTTTCTTTTTGGACTAAAGATTACATTTAAAGAAGCTCAAGTATGATGAGAATGCTTAACCACTACAGTTATAATTAGCATATATACAATCTTTTACATATTTTTGGTTGTTTTATTTTACTTTTTATGTTGAAATCAGGCTACTAATAGGTCTGAGGAGTATGTGCTTAGCTTTAAAAGATAGCAAACAGCTAAAACCAAATCATTTTCTAAAATAGTTGCCTCTAACTGGAAATAACAGGCATGTGTACATTCATATATGTTAAATGGCTGAGCAAATATCAGGCGTATTCTTATTATTGCTAAGTTTCAAGTCTCAATTTTATACTTTGTCTCTTTATGGAATAATAGATTATGACATAGTTCTCCAGGAATACCTATAAACTTTTTTCCTTGGTGGCATTAAGCTTTGCATATTATTATTTTGTTTAAGATTTAAAGAACAAAGTCTTTTATTCAAATACATAACGTGATGTGGAATGTGAGTGTATCTTATCATACCCTGTTTCACTGGAGTATTTCCCCTCTTCCTTAGAGATAAAATTCTTCTGCAGAAATCATCTGCAGAACACATGTACTCTTAAAGAATCAATAGGATAGTATGGCACTATATTTAAAAAAGAACAAAAGTAAGGAAGGAAGAAAACTGTCAGTGATTGCCTGATTTAGGGATTGGAGATTAGGTTTAAGCAAGTAGAGATTAGTGCAGTTCAGGTATGGGGGCTCATGCCTGGAATCCTCACTCTTTGGAAGGCCAAGGTGGGATGGTCACTTGAGGCTGGAAGTTTGAGACCAGCCTAAGCAAGAGTGAGACCTCATCTTTACAAAAAATAGAAAAATCAGCCACATATGGTGGTGTGTGCCTGTAATCCTAGCTACTTGGGAGGCCAAGGCAGGAGGATCACTGGAGCCCAGGAGTTTGAGGTTGCAGGGAGGTGTGAGCTATAATAAGGCCACTATATTCTAGCCTAGGTGACAAAACGAGAACATGTCTCAAAAATATATATATAATAAATAAAAACCACTGTACTAAATGTTATGGTTTACTAAGTCTAAATAGTGAACTGGCTAAACTTCAGTGCATTTTAAAAACTCTTCTTTATAAACTCCAGGTTTCAAAATACAGTCTCTGTTTTCTTAAAAGGCATGTTTTTTCTGTATAATTACTTAATTAAGAGCATTTTCCCCTGTATTCCTTCTTTGCTACCTATGCACTAAAGTTGATGACCACTAAAAAGTGTAATTACTACGGGAGAGTGTTTATTTTGAGAAACTCAGTCTTTCTGGAATGCAATTTCTACTTTTTTCTAGTAGGTTCCACTTCATTTTCTTCTGGGTACAGTGATTCTTCTGTGTTTGTAGCTAAGACTTGGACTGCATTAGTAGAGTGTTAAGAGTTATTTAAATCTAATGTTATTTATTTATGCAAGCATTACTGAAATAACACTAAAACATTAATATAAACACGAAGAGTACATTTTATATAACGTGGACAACAAACTGGGTGAATCTATTTAAGTTTTATAATTAGGGCTTCTTTAAGAACATTTCAATAGTCAATATGTTGATATTTAAAAATAGGTATCAGGATTGATTTTCACCTTTCTATGCAATCTAAGGATGGCATTCTTTTGGAAGCTTTAAAAACCCATCATGTTTTCCCATTTGTTGCCAAGTATAAGCAAGATGATCTTTGGTGGTTCCCCAATCTGATTTTTTTTAAAAATGTTAACATTGTAACATCTTTTAACACAGAATTTTTTACCCTGAAGATTATTCATTGTAAATGGTGCTTTTACATTAGCTCATTGCAGGGTAAAGGGCAATCATAGGTCCTGGCATAACATCACAGGAAAAGAAATTTTTGGTCAATGACAGGGGGAAAACTTATGTAGAAGTAAGTGTGCGTTGTATAAATACACACATCCTAAAGATTAGCTTACATTATAACTGGCGTAGTGATATTTGTGATATACTATGTACTAGTTTCTATCTGTATCTTTGCTTCTATATGTCTATATCAATAGCATGAAATGTGAGCTAATTTTTCCCTTCTGATATAGCCTCAGTTTGAAATTGAAAATATTTATTGGTAATAAATTACAGATACCTCTTTTATAGCAACTGAAGTGAACTGCAAGTTTCTACAGAATCCCAACACCCATGTCACTCCCAATTTTATGCCCCTCGATTCTTAAAGTTTGACTGAACTTTCAGTGTCTCCACTTCACAGAGAGAATTAGGTTTGGTAGAATATAGCACCCATACATTATTGCCACAGGTTTCTGTAATTTTTCTTTGCCTTTTGATAAATGTTTTAGATATTTTAATTTCATGGTATTATTTTATCCTAATAGGTAACAGAAGAGAAATCTACTCACAGCCAATCAACATGACACAAATTGAAAAGATTTTCTCCGAATTGGTGTTAGGAGACACATTCCCGAATCCTACGCTGGTTAAGCTGCTGAAGGTGAAATAAAGTGCGGTGACGTATTTGTCTTTAATGGATGGTCCAGAGCTGGAGTCACTATCATTGTACCGTTTCCCAATTTGCTGTCCTAAGGAATCCAACCATCCGATCTTGTCAGTCAGATAAGGCCTTTCCACGTTCCCAATCGCATACCAAATGCAAGCCAGCCAGTGAGCAATCAGGGCAAAAATGCACATTAAGAGCATTAGAACAGCAGCGCCGTATTCTGAATACCGATCCAGTTTCCTGGCCACTCGCACAAGACGAAGGAGCCGGGCCGTCTTCAGAAGACCAATTAAGGTTGTTGTCTGGAGAAATAAATGTGCATGGTCAGAGACTATGGGTAAGCAGCTCAAAGTATGTTCATGTGAAGCAAAGTAGGCTGAATCAGGTTAAAACAATATGGCAGCATTGAGGATAACTATATTTGAATTAAGTATTAAGATTAGTCCTTTATTTTATTTTATTATTTTATTTTATTTTTTTTGAGACAGAGCTTTAAGCTGTCCCCCTGGGTAGAGTGCTATGGCATCACAGCTCACAGTAACCTCCAACTCCTGGGCTCAAGGGAGTCTCCTGCCTCCGCCTCCCAAGTAGCTGGGACCACAGATGCCCACCACAATGCCAGGCTATTGTTTTGGTTGCAGCCGTCATTGTTGTTTGGCCGCCGGGCTGGATTCCAACTGGCCACCTTAGGTGTATATGGCTAGCGCCTTAGCCACTTGAGCCACAGGTGCCAAACCTAGTCCTTTTTTTTTGTTTGTTTGTTTTTTTAAATTATGCCTGCTTTGAAAATCACTTTGAATGTACCTAGCATAGTAATTCCTTTTCTAGGCATGCAAGATCCAAGGCATGGAGGAGCTGTCTTGTTTTATGCTCTGACCGCCTTGTTCCTACCTGGTATTCACTGACTCATTTATACACTCACAAACGTTTCAAGGTGGCACTGTGTACCTACCGAGAGCTGCACTCTGGTATAGTGTTGAACAAATAGACAAGGTCACTGTTCTAAGAGAGATAGTTATTTAGCAAAGTGTTCTCGCTGATGAAAATAAGATCTGCTATCCACTTGGGAGAGTTAAATATTTAAAAAACAAACAAAGAATAAAGTAATTTCAGAGAGAAAAGTGTGACAATTTGAAACAGAGTAATATCATAGAGAATATTTGGGGGCTGGGGTAGAAACCACTTCAGAAAGGAAGGGCAAGAAAAGGCTCACGAAGGAGCTGACATTTGACTTGAGAAAAACCTAAGTGATGAGGCAGAGCCACTCACACTCTCTTCCTCTAACTGGGGGAAAACTTACTGGATGATTGCAGGCATGAATTAGGCACTATCTTTAAACAGATCTTTTCTTTCTTTCTTTCAGAATGTGCTAAATTGATAAACTGTTTCTTGGTGACCCAATGATATTATAATTGCATTTTGCTTTGGGGTATGATGTGTGTAACTAACTGCGTGATTATTACTGACCAGGTATCTAATGATAGGATACTTTTATATAATAACAGGATACTTAACTGGTTGTTTGGATTTGAAATCTGATAAGTACAAATTACAAGTTCATTTCTTAAGTTTCCTAAATAATGTCAACCATAAGTACCATATAATTCACAGGGCTTATAATTATTCCATAGTTACATGGTGTTTACCAATCAATTATTGAGTAATTTTATCTGTTCATTGTTGCTCCTTATTTCACAATGTACCTCCAACTGTGTTAAGAACATTTATATCTTAATTGAAGAAATAGCACACGGAATAACTATTACACTGTGTATCTATTCATATTGACGTAATGAAAAAAGAAATATAAAAAAAACTCTTTTCATTAAAATGTTATATAAGTATCCTTTAGTTCC